ATAATGTATTATTGCTGGGATTTGTTGTTCCTCTATAGCTGCTGGTATTCTCCATCGCGCAGTATAATGTATTATTGCTGGGATTTGTAGTTCCTCTATAACTGGTCAGTGGTAATCTGCATTGTGCAGTATAATCATTATACAGCGCAATAGAGAATACCACCACCTATAAAGGACTACAAATCCCAGCAATAGCACATTATAGTATAATGTTGTACTATTGCTGGCATTTGTTGCATTCCTATATAGCTGCTGGTATTCTGCATTTCGCCGTATAATCATTATACAGCGCACTGCAGAATGCCACCAGCTATAGAGGACTACAAATCCCAGCAATAATACATAATATACAGTGCAATGCAGAATAACCCCAGCTACAGAGGACTACAAATCCCAGCAATAGTACATTATAGTATAATGTACTATTGCTACATTCCTCTATAGCTGCTGGTATTCTGCACTGCGCCGCTGTATAATGTACTATATTGCACACCACACTCTTTTTTTTACTTCCACCGCGCCAAGCTTGCTCCCGTGATGGACTACAATCTCAATAGAAACTAGTAGTCCATCACTGAACCCTTTTTTTTTTTTATCCGATTAGTCGATTAATCGAACTTAATAATCGGCTAACTAATCGATTATGAAAATAATCGTTAGCTGCAGCCCTAGACGGCACCGCTGCATTGGCAGGTTGCCGTTGGCAGCAGACGGCCTTTTTTTTCTGCTCGCGTTAGTCAAAGTACCACAGTGCTGAATACTGAAAAATGGCCTGGATGGGAAGGGGGTTTAACACCGCGGATGTCAACTGGTTAATGTACGATTTTGTTTTTATAAATATAAATAAAGGGATGCACAGATACCAGTTTTGCGAGTATGAGTACTGGTACTTGCCGAGTACTTACAAGTACGAGTACTGACACATTTTTGTTTATTGTCATGTGACAGTTTTTATAAAACAGTACAGACTAATGATTTCAGGACAGTGGTGGAGAGCCAGAGCCAGGTCCCATCTGCAACCTCTGTAACCCTGGTAGTTCTCGTGAAAATGCCAAGTATCGGCACTGGTACTCGAAAAGTATCGGTGCATCCCTAGTTTTTGTTCCGTTATCAAGTATAATACAAAAGTGTGCCCCATATGCAATAACCCCTAACCTTGACTGGAGCCTTGAAGAGAGCCAGTCACCAGTCTACACTTGAAACATTATAATTGTTCAGCTCAGGTATGATTTTATGTTTCATTATGTACTCTTTGAGTTCTACTTTGAGGCTGTCCCTATCAATACTGATAACAGAAACTTAAAGACTACCATATAATAAAGGTGACGTCAGAGGTAAATTAAGAAGAACCAAACGCTTGACAGATTTTCCCTCTTCCAACCGTGTCACTGGGTATGGATGTACACCTCTGGATGCAGACAGTCTGCGTTCAGGGACTTACATCCATACTTGCAATCAAGAAAACACTAGGAGCAGCATTCACCAGTGTACTTGCCACAGCCTGTCATTGGTTTGTAAAGGTGGGCTGTATGCAACATCTGTGGCTTCCAGGTGCAGAGATCCTGCCATTTTTTATGCCTGCGACCACATAAACCAGTCACAGTCCTGGACAATTAAAACTGGGAATTTGGTGACAAGAAAGCATAAGCAGGTGTCACCTTTAGTGAAAACCACATGTCTAACAAGCCCCCTATGTGATAGAAAAGAGGAAGTGACATGTCCTGTTTTATGGAGACATCAGGGCTCTATTAGACCCCCTAATGTCACCTATGGACCTCAAAGAAGCTAATGAATGACAGATCGTGCTTCACCAGCTTATTCCCCAGCCACAGCAGCTGAAGAAATGACAACCTGAATTCGGAAGTGACAAAATCCTCGTTACTTCCAGGTTCAGTGATCAGAGGAAACATCAGACACTGGAAGTGTGCTGATCTGTACTAAAAATGTCACTTCCATTGTTTTAACTCCCTCATGAAAAGACACTGCTCACTTCCCGTCCAGGCTGTGGGGAAAAAAAGACACAGAGCAGTAAAAACCTGCCAGAGGTTTCAATCCTTCACAACGCTCTACAAAATTTAAAAAAAAATGTTTTATTTGTAAGGACTTAAGCTGTATTTTATAGGTATTATTGATCAAAAGACTTTCAAAAGCCTGTGTGCTTACTGTATATCTTCTAGAAAGGGTTCAAATCACTGCAAACATGAGGCTGCACTGAGCAGAAATGTAAGGGTTAAATCTCTTCATGAAAAATGCATTCTGCAAAGTTACTTTGCTCAGCACTATATGGATTGTTCATACAGCAGCATCATTATGGATACACCGAGAAGACTTCAGATAGAATGTTTGCATCTTTGCTTGCCATCCTCCTTATATCGGTCCCTTCCCAGTCCATTTCTGATCTCTGAGTGGATCCCACCCTCCATGGTTTAGAATCATTCCTCTCCATTTCTGCTGGCGGCCGGTCTACCTGTACCATGGAAAGGCATGACCCGGTGTAAACATTTTGAGGCACCCCTGAGGAAACCAGATGGCTCCCTGGTTGAGAAAGGCTGGTCTACAGAATAGTACCAGTAAAAGCCAATATGAATGTATTAAATGTAAACCTAATCAAACTTCTCTATACGACTGTGATAAAAGATAGGGTCCCTTTGGATTGCAATGGACAGCAGATATTCCAGTTTTACACACATCTTCCACACATTGCTTTGTGGTTACTTCCTACAGAGTGAGACAGTTGGACTGGATTTGACGTACAAGCAGCACGAGGAGAAAGTCAGCTATGCTGCAGTGCCCATATGCTAACAGAGAGCATGCTGATAGGAGGAAAGAGCATTGTGACAGATATGAGCTCATCAGTCTGCTGCTTATCAATGTTGGTTTTTTTCTGTCCCTTCGCAGGCTGGGAGTAGGAAGGGGATCTGTAGATGATACTTAACTGCATCAGAGAAAAAATAGGTTTCCTGTTCTTGGCAGACAGGGCTGTGCAGATCTCCCTTGTTGGAGCTTGGGAAAATGTGTTCCTTTCACAGCCACCCCTTTTTCTCTGTCCTATAGCCAGGTCTGGATTTATACCTTCTGCCCCCACATGTCCTGTGCCTCACCCTTCCTACCCTACTTAGTATCACATAGACAAGATTACATGTCATATGCACATGTGGCATGCCATGTCTGGTGTTGGAGATCACATGTCATATCCACACATTGCATGTCAAGTCTAATGGTGGAGATCACAGGTCATATCCACACGTAGCATGCCAAGTCTGGTGGTGGAGATCACATGTCATATCCACACATTGCATGTCAAGTCTAATGGTGGGGATCACAGGTCATATCCACACATTGCATGTCGAGTCTAATGGTGGGGATCACAGGTCATATCCACACATTGCATGTCGAGTCTAATGGTGGGGATCACAGGTCATATCCACACATTGCATGTCAAGTCTGATGGTGATCTCATGGCATCTACACATTGCATGTCAAGTCTAATGGTGGGGATCACAGGTCATATCCACACGTGGCATGCCAAGTCTGGTGGTGGAGAGGCTGAAAGGGATAGTTTACGCATTCCAACTAGAATCAACAATTAGAAGAGTAGGGCAGTGTCACCATGGTTTGATAGTAGTTTGGTTATAGGAGTACTCTAAGTACACTAAGCTACCAAAAAAGATACACAAACTGTGCAGTGGCAGCAACAATGAGGACCCAGCCAAATTGCAGGCAGGGAGATTGTCTGTAACCTCTGGACAATCATCATTTGTGGGTGGCTGTGTGCCCCCTCTGGTAACACTGATTCCCAAGGTGGCAGCCTACTCCCGCACTGCAAGGGCTAACTGCCTGTTTTGGTAGGGGCCAGCACTCAGAAGATACACTCACCTGATCCTCGGCCCTGTGGCGGTTAGTGCTCACCTCTCTTCCCTTGGTTGTGGTATGTCCCTTGGCGCCCTCACACCTAATGCAGTTGAAAAAAATTGCATTAGATGCAATGATGTTAGCAGGCCTTAGACCGCCGGAGCCCGGGGGGGGGGGGGGGCTGTGGGGACTGGTCTAGCAGCCAGGCGGGATTCAGAATCAGGTAAGTATCTATTTTTTTTTTATTTGGGCCCTTAGACCAAAACGAGCAGTAAGTAGTTAACCCTTGCAGTGCGAGGGTAGCCCCGCTGCAAGGGTTAATTTTGTACATTTCTGGAGTTCTGCTTTAAAGATTTTAGCTAATAGCCATACAGTGCTACCTATATTTTGCTAAAATGATTTCTAAAATTGCTAAAATTTCAGGTTTTAAGGAAAAATGGGAGCTTGGTCCCATTCCTTTTCAGCCCCTCCCTGTTGGGCCTATAATGTGCTGGCAAGCCTTGTTGACTGGTCGGCACCGATGCACTGTATACAGACATCCCAACTCTCCCTGTCGCTCCGGGAGTCTCCCGCTATTAGATAACGGCTCCCGGTCGCCCCGGGAGAGAAACATTTTCTCCCGGAAAGGTTTACTCTGCTCGATCTAGCAGAGTAAACCTTTCCCTGCGTTCGTGTGTTTCTTTTTAAAAAAAAATTCTGACATCAGGGCCGCCGTCAGTCAGAGAAAAAAAAATAAGCCTAGCATAGGAATGCATAGCTAGATTGCTATTGGCTATTTCACTTTGCAATAGCCAATAGCAGACTAGCTATTGCAACTGCCCACTGCTGCTGTCAATCAGCAGAGGGGGACCTGAAGTTCTCTATCAGGTCCTCATCTAGTGATTGGCAGCAGCAGAGGGCGGGTGCAATAGCCAGCTTGCTATTGGATATTGCAAATTGAAATAGCCAAGAGCAATCTAGCTATTCACTCCTATGCTGATTTTTTATTTTTTTTATTTTATTCTCATGGCAGCAGCTGTCAGAATAGTTAAAAAAAAAACAGCAGATAGCAAAGAATCTACTGCTTGGGAGGGGGCAGAGGCCACCTCCCTGAAATGAGAAGGGCACCTCCCTGAAATTGCTTTTCAGGTTGGGATCCCTGTGCATGATTTACTTGGATTGTTCAGTTTTGTCTAAATTGTTTTGCAAAGATTGACTTCTGACCTGATAATAGGTATGGCAAGAAAGAAAGTCATTTTCACCCTTACCATTTGCAGAATGCATCGATGAAGAAAAATAAAGGTGAACGGGAAGATCTTGGCGTGATTTTGTATGGCATACAGCAGGAATTGGCTCATCTGCAGATGAGCTTAGAGAAGCATCACGATAAACATGGCCAGGTTTCCACCCTACGACGACAGATAGAAGAAGACCTGGAAGCCATTAGGAACATGTATAAGACAACCCACCAGTCCAGTGATGCAGAGCGTAAAAAGGGTCAGTAGATCACTTTCTGGTATTACAACTTGCCTCCTTTTAGTATCAAAAACAGTTTTTCCTTTTTTCTAGAGACTCAGGGGAGAAATTTCTGAACACTGGAGCAGCTCCCCATAGTAACCAATCTTCAGTTTGTTCTGTTTCAGCTTCTCTTCAGTTTGTTCAGTTAAGCTTTGAAAATGAAAAAGAGAAGCTGATTGGTTGCCATGAGCAACTGCTCCATATTTTTGCTGCTCTAGTTTTGATAAATTACCTTCTCTGTTTCTAGAGAAAAAATAAATAAAACCTGCTGCAGGTATAAAGTGCTTAGAGGTCCACATACCTGCAGCAGCTTCCAAAAGCTTGCAACTCTGTCTGAATCCACGTCATTCAGACATACAAATCTCCAGTATTTTCTGATAGTGGTGAAGCCTGCCCATTCCTTTACTGAAGGGGTAGGCAACCTCGGCACTCCTGCTGTTGTGGAACTACAAATCCCATGAGGCATTGCAAGACTCTGACAGCACCAGGCATGACTCCCAGAGGCATGATTGGATTTGTAGTGTCCCCACAGCTGGATTGCCGCTGTTGCCTGCCACTGCTTTACTGCCCCATGCACAGTTCTATTAGTCATAGTGATGGACCAATAAGAATATAAAGAAGCAGGACTTGTGCCGGACCTTTGGCAGTCAGAACAGCCCAAAATTCCGTCATAGCTGCAGCCTTTTTGAAGCTGAGGCTGATATGTGTAGGTACCTTTAGGTGCCTTAAATTTATATATGCAGCAGTTTGTTTGTTTTTTTCTAAAGACAATGGGGGGTGGGGAATTTATCAATACTGGTGCAGACAAAATCTGGAGCAGTTGCCAATGGCACCCAATCAGTTTCTCTTTTCAGTATGTTCAGTTAAACTTCAAAAATGAAAGAGATAAGGTGTTTGGTTGCCTAGGGCAAACACACCTTTAGAAATGTTTAGTAATGACAATCTAAAAACACATACTTCTAGATAATTGCAGGCTTTGTATTCTTTGCATACATTATTTCTCTTGTCTTCCCCAGTCTTCTGACAGTGGCCATGTTTACTAAGGGCAGATCACTAGCTCTTCTATTACTTCCTGGATTTCAGGCACATGTGACTAGAACATGTCACCATGCACATCATCTCAGGGGAGGAAAATGCCTTTCCCCGAGATCTTGTGAGATTACAGATGAGATTTCCCAGCAATGCTCTGCTGATGACAAGGCAATCCCAGTGTGCATTGCTTTGGCAAACTGAAGTCATTATGCCCTTTCAAAGCAGGAAGTGAATGCTCTGCAAGTGTAAGTATTTCAAAAATCACAGCATTTTACACCTGACATGTCTATGTTATTATTAATCATTATACATAGAGGGATGAATTGTTGGAATTAGATTTTTGAGTGTAAAGGTCCACTTTAAATTTTATTAATAGACAGATGTAAATGATAATACCTCGCAAAATGAAATAGTAGCTTCAAATTGGCTTTTGTTGAGCTGAGTGGTGTCGGCAGGGTCACCCACAGCTCCAATTTCAGGTGATTCAGCACAAGCATCTTTTGCCTCTCTGCAGGAACTTCCTGTAATAAAGACCAATCACTGCTGCTCTCTCTCTCCTTGTGCAGGGTGATCGGTCTTGCGATTGGCGGCCGTCACTTAAATTTTCCATCCGGCTGCTTCGATTTTCTGATCGAGGGATGCCAGATGGAAGGGTGCCAATGAGGGCACCCATTGTGTGAAATTTAAATAAGGGAAAGACAAACTTTAGATGAACTTCATGTAGGCGACAAACAAAATAAAGCCTAACTCCAGGTAAAACATTTTAAGCAGTTACACCAGTTTGTTTTTTTTTTTTTTATTAAAGTTTGACTCATACATATAAAGGATGATCATTGTAATCCCCCTGCCGGTATAATAGTTTGTCCCAACTGTCACTTTTGCAGGACATCTTGGCCTGCATAAAAAAGAATAAAGAACAATATAAATAAAGACTTGTAAAATAATAAATGTAATTTATACACAGAATACTTTCATTACAATTTTAACCCCATACACATTTCTTTATAGTGGCCCTTTAAGGATAATGAAGTAGCTATGCCAATCATACTTTTCTGACAAACAACCAATCACTTTCTTGCTTTAGTGTCCTCTATGCAAGCAGAGGTAGAAAACTTGGCACTGCGTTTATTCTACATGGAGAATGTGAGCCGAGATGTGGCCTCGGACATCTCAGTGATTAAACGTGCTGTGCAAAAGACTGAGGCAGAGAGGATTCAAGCAGAGGTGGAGAAGAAGAAACAGGTATGGTCTTAAAAGTGTTCTAGGATTCTTGTGTACCTGCTTGTGTGTCGGCAGGCTTTGGGCTTGTCAGTGATAGTTGGTCTCCTTTTGTCGCACATTTGACCTGCTTTAACTGCTAGACTTCTATGGGAATGCCAAACCAAAGCCCAACAACACAGGCCCTTAGGGCACTGTTAAAACAAGCACTGCAATGTTACCCTAGAAATAGTAAAATTATCTTAAAGGAGAACTATGGGGTTAAGGCTTTTCCCCATAGTTCTCCTTAGGGTAACGGGAGGACACAAACTAGCGTCCTCCTGTCACCCTAGGCTCAGTATACCGCGAGCTGTAGCCGCAGAATACCGCAAGCTGCTGCTCGCGGTATACTGAGACGCCGCAGCTGAAGCGGATCCCGACAATTGTGCCGCCATCCGCCCAGCTGCGTGACTGACAGCTGGCTCTGCCTATCTAGAGGCAGAGCCATCTGTACACGCCCCCTCCCCCGTCCGTTCCGCCAGTCAGCACTGGCAGATCGGAGCGGGGAATCTAGCCCCTCCCCTGTCACGGCTCTCTGCCATGACAGGATCGAGAGGTGAGCGAACGCCGGTATGTGTTCGCTCACCTCCCTATCTACTGAGCCGACCTGTGACAGTCTCATTATCACAGGTCGGCTAGAACTATGAGGTGAGTGAAAAGCACTGACCTCATAGTTCTCCTTTAAAGTTCTCTTTAATGAAGGAAGTATTGGTCAAGGTAGGCACTTTAAAGTGATATTCCACCAAATCTAGTGGACCGCATCACTGGCTGTTTTGCTTAGTGGTGAGAGCTCCCTGACATAGATCATGGCTCTGTTTTCATCCATCTAGGAATTTTAGGTGATCCTGCTCAACTTGATCCTTCTTTTGTTGCATCTTTCATTAAAGAGTATCTCATGGTCTATGAACCGGGGCACCAGGGCTCGTGAGCTCTGAGTTTTGCGGAGCAGTCCGAAACAGGGAACAGGCCTTGGGGAACAATTTCTTGGGAAATGAGAGTACACTGGGTACTCTAAACACAGGGTACCAGGAACAGTGACTGCACAGTAAAGATGGGTGTGTCACCAGAGCCTCTGATGGTGAGGATGTTGTGCTGCAGGGCAGCTTCCAGGTTGCGGCCCTCCAACACATCCGTGCAGACACAGTTGACTGAAGTGCTATGGGATTAACACTGGGGTCCTGGACAGAGACAAGTAGGTCAAGAGACCAAAGAAGGGTACAAAGGATCTCCAGGAAAGACAGAATCCTAACAGAGGAAAGAGACACAGCGACACATTATACACAGGAGAACAGCAGTACTAGCAGGTGATATCACCATGCATGGCAACATTTTACAACCTGTTCGGTCCCTTCATCAGGCAACCAGTAGTGATCACTTTTGTTTGCCTGATAAGGGGCCGGCCAGGTTCCGAAAAGTTGCCACCCATGATGAAATGACCTGCTAGAATGAATAAAAGTATTTCGTTTTGAAGAAAACTTGGAGTGCTGGTGACCATGTATTCTGTTTTGCAAGTATTTGGCGGCGCCATCCGTGGCCACTTCAGTGCCCCCCCCCACTATATATGGGGCTTCTTGGTGTGCGGTGGGACTCTCTCTTTGTCAACACAGAGTACAGGGTACTAGTGAATAGGTGAGGATAAACAAGGAGAAGCACAGAGACAATGTGGACCATGGAAAAGTAACATACTGTAGTGCTAAGAAGCAGGGAACATGCGTAGTACAGGAGCACAGGTGACTTAAGAGGAACACACAGGAACGTGGAACCACAAAGGAACAAAGGCAATATTCACAAAGAGTGTGTATACACAAGGGTGCACAACTGGGAGGCAGAACACACAAGGGCTGTGCGTGAGGTAGAGCTACGGAAATTCATATGAGGAAAGCTTAACTGCTCAAGGGACAAAGGAGGTGGTTCAGAGGGAGTACAATAGTACAGAAGCAAGGCACAGGATACAGAAAAAGGTACTCACAAGGATTGTGTAAAAACTGATACACAGTTAAGCATGGGAACACTACAGCACTGCGGAACACAACACAGGCTAAGTCTCAGAGGGAGCAGGGTAATAAGGGAAAGCAGACACACAGACGGGGGAATTTATCAAAACTGGAGCAGACAGAATCTGGAGCAGTTGCCCATGGCAACCAATCAGCTTCTTTGTTCAGTTTGTTCAGTTAAGATTTGAAAATGAAAGAGAGAAGCCAATTGGTCGCCATGCACAGCTGCTCCAGATTCTATCTGCTCCAGTTTTGATAAATCCTTCCTCAGAGATGAGCAAAGGGGAAAACAGCCAAGCAGGGGACCGACAGAGGTACACTAGGATATCAGAGGAACACCAGAAACTTAAGGGTAGATCACAGGGACCATTGGCGGGTCCGGCAGCAGTACACTGACTCGTTGCTCGAACATAGAGCAACAGGTGAGCTGACACTAAGTAGGGAAAGAGAGCAGATTGGCTGCAGCCTTGCAAATCCCCATAGGCTGACAGCCAGGCACCTAGGACAGAGGGGAAAATCTGACCTGGAAAGTAGACTAAAAGAAAAATCCAGCAGGGATACTAGGACAATATAACAATGCCATTGATCAGGTTTTATCAGTAAGGGAATGCCACACTGTTCCATCATTCAGTTGCGGCCTTCATAGCATAAAATAAAATTGCCCGTAAACAAACCAGTTATGAGCCATTGGAAAGTTTTGTACCGTATCTGACCAAAATAGCTCTTATTTGGAACAGTCCTTTAGGCCTTGTTCACACCAAATGCAGACCAAATCTGCATGAGTTTCTGCACACGCAGTGCAGGGGGTTGTGCCGCGTTTTTGCCGCGTTTGCATGCGTTCCAGAGCAGGTAAAATAGGGCTTGCTGCAGTTTTTTTACATGCTCTGGAACTAAACGCTGCGGTGTGAACTAGAGACCAAAGTACCATTAAAATACATTGGACGCAGTTTTGATCCGGTCTGTAACTGCTCTGCTCTGCTCTTGGAACGCGTTTGGTGTGAACAAGGCCTTAGGCAGTCCATTGTAAGGTTGGGTAGCGAATGGTCTTCCCAAACAGATCCACATAGCTATAGCTATGCAGTTCTCCTATGTCCTGGCACTATCCCCAGATTATATGGGCATTAGATAAACATGTGAAAAATTAATACATGTTGAATCAGTTCAAACACACCCAAGAAAGAAAGGTGCCTGGTGGCTTGTATGTGCATATGGCCTGTGTAATGTAAGTGTGTTTTTATCTCTATTAAGTAGCTTTCCGTCTTTATATACTTTCATTAATTTCCTTGCTGGTTTGTCTTCCTCTGTGTAGTAGAGATCTTCTTGACTTTTTCTTTTTCCCTCTTAGGATATGAATGTGGATCGTCTAATTCGAGAAGCAGACCGGTTGCGAGAACAAATTGCTCTCTATGAAGCACAGTTTGCTGCTCAAAGAGAAGATACAAAAGCAGCACGAGATGTAGTAACAGAGGTAGATGTTTACCTTTATTATTATTATTTATTACTTTTTCATGCTTATGTGTGACAAAATTAGAACATTATTTTCACTTAATTTATAGGCTAACATGGAAATTGAAGCAATTGGACTAGAAAAGAGACAGCTTCTCTATCAGTGGAATAGCAGCTTAATTGGGATGACAAGGAGAGATGAAGCCTATTCTGCCATTCAGGAAGCTCTTAGGTTTGTATGACTTAATGGAGCACTATGCTGTGTGCCATATTGAAACTGAACTCCTGGGCACAATTCAATTTTACCTGATATTCCATTGAAGCCCAACTGTAGGATAAATGTCACACCCCCCTCCCATGCCCCACTATCTGATCGCTGGATTAAAAAAAAATCCTTATCTAAAAGCCCTTTTTTACTTACCCATGCGGCAATAATATGATGCTGCAGCCTCGAGTCTTCGCCTCTTCTGACTACTTCTTGCTTAGGTCCTTCCTTGAGTGTCCACATCAGTGCCTGCATGATGGGACACTTGCTATTGGATGTTCATTGGCCAGGAAAAGTATTTTTTTTGTGCACTGATACCGATTTTAATGTGCCTTTATCAATTTAATTGTGTATTTTTATCCGTTTAATATTGATTTGACAAACATTTGCGCAATTATCGCAGGACCTACAAAATTAGTAGCACCATCTTTTTATTCTACCGGGCCTGTGCTTTCAGAACAAGTCGTTTACAAACTCTAAAAGCGCCAGTTGAAAATTTAAAAAAAGGTCAAAAATTGCAACATTTGTGTGGCCAGCTAAGGTTAAAAGCGTTCCTGAGGGCTTGGCAGTGAAAGGGTTAATATACTGTACCCGGGTTGTGCTGAAATAAAACCCCGCCCCTTCCTGCATTGACCAGCTCATTTCCTCAGTATGTTTCAGCTAGTATAAAAAGTACATAGGAACATGGCAATTGGGAATAAATGTTTTAGTCCATGTCTTGCACCCAGTGGCGTAACAATCGCCATAGCGACCCAGGCGGCCGCTATGGGGCCCGAGGCACAGGGGGCCCCAGATTGGACATCCCTGATGCCGTGCGGGCCGCCTGGGTCGCTATGGCATCTCATGCTGCTGCCTGTCACTGGCGGCTGTGAAGAGGAACGTGCCGCTGCTCAGATCACTGATGTGTTCCTCTCCACAGCCACGGCTGAGTGAGTGAGAGCCAGCAGTGGCGGTGGAGGAGGCTGGACCAGGCAGTGGAGGAGCAGGCGGGGCCCAGCAGCAGAGTAGGAGGCGGGGCACGGCGACGGAGGAGGAGGTGGGGCCCATCAGAGACCGTGGAGGAAGAGGAGGCCGACAGGTAAGTTGTGTGACCAGCCCACCTGAGACCCTGCAGAGCCCACCATAGAGGGTCTATGGTGGGCTCTGCAGGGTCACCCACAGGTGGGCTGTGCAAGGGGCATAACTAGAAATCACAGTGCCCCATAAAAATTTTGCTATGGGGCCCTGTGATTTCTAGTTAAGCCCCTGCTTGCACTTATGTCCATGACAACTCACAACATGCTCCAAGTGTCAGATTATTACTGCACCATTTTGCCTAGGGGATTAGGCTGTACAAGCCATTGAATTTAATTTGTAAATCAGCTGCACTGAATTTCCGAACACTGGTGCCGATGTGTTTTTTCCCCCCTTAAATTCACAAACAAAAGCAAGAGAAAGAAAAAGTAACAATTTCAAGTTTAAATGAGAACTATGGGGTTAAGGCATTTCCCCATAGTTCTCCTTAGGGTAACATGAGGACACAAACTAGCGTGAGCGAACGCCGGTATGTGTTCTCTCACTTCCCGATCTACTGAGCCGACCCTTGTCTCATTGTCACAGGTCGGCTAGAACTATGAGGTGAGTGAAAAGCACTCACCTCATAGTTCTCCTTTAATGCTGGCCTCCAAAAAGACATTCATTTCTCCAAGGACAGGTTTATGTTCACTAGGATTTCCAAGTCCTTCTCCAGCTTTGTTTTGCCCAACTGCATTTCACTTAAATAACTAATTCTTACCTGCACTGCCACCTATACTTCGGATCTTCTCTTCTTGAACTACTATGGTAGATGAAGAACCTTCTGCATCCTTTACACTTCTGCCATTGTTGGCTGCCTGGTCCTCCACTGCGTGCTTGGTTCCAACCACTTAAGCGCACAAGTGATGAACTCAGAATGAATCAGCTGCATGCAATCTGATGCAACAACATCTAACTGTTGTCCTTTGTGTTAAGGTGCCCATACAGTGCTCGATTCTCGTACGAGAATCGGGCGAAATCCCGTGATCGTATGAGAATCGAGCAGTGTGAACTAAGACGTGCGACCGTTTCTACTGTACGGTCGCACGTCTTTTGTCTACTGTGGTCATCGGAAGCCCGCCCCTCAGTGGGGCGGGCTTTCGATGATCGCAAGTACGATCTGCCCGTCCAAGGTGGGCAGATCGTACGGGCTTTCAAGAAGCATACGACCATCGCAAGACAAAAGTCTTGCGATGGTCGTAAGGTGTATGGGCACCTTTACGCTCCACAATAACAATGCCAGGCATGGATATGTAAATGTGTAAAAACAGGCACTCTCTTGAGAGAAAACACACTTGGCATATTATTTCCAATCAAGTTTCTAAGATTATTTTATACTTTGCTTACATACAATTTGGGAAGTACAACATAAGAATGTAAAATGACATGTTAATGATCTTTTTCAGTCTGGCACATCAGGAACTGCGTTCCATGGACACAGAAATTGAAAGTTATAAGAAATCTATCACAAAAGAAGAGGAAAGAAATGAGAAGCTGGCCTTTATGAAAAACCGAGCAGAGAGTGATGCAGCCATGAGCAAGAAACTTATTACCCAATGTCAAGCCAGACAGGAAGCACTGAGAGTGGAGTTTAGCACATACATGCGTACATTACAGGAAACTGAGCAAGCTCTGAGCAGGGTCACCACTGTAAGTAAATGCTGAATGAGCACTCGTTTTGTCATTCAGTAGAATGATGACAAATACAGCGACAAAGATAAAGAAGAGTACAAAGTAATCACTGGCTGTTTTACACCTTCATAACTCCCATAAACTATGCTGGCCAATTACCAGCTTCTGGGTAAAATGATATTCGTTTGTGACATAGTTTTGTCCTAAACCTGGCCATACACTGCTTGAATTTCGTCTGATTCATGCAGAATCAACCGGAATTCAAGCTGTGAGTGGCCCTGTAGCAGAACAGTTCCTGCATCCAATCAGATTCTCGCACTGTTCAGATATTCAGCAGCTGCTAGAGCATCGGCTTCTGAATACAGTAGCCGTCACCAGGGATTCCTCCTTCTACATCAAGGGTAGGGAAACTGCAGCCCTCCAGCTGTGGTGCAACTATAAATGCAATGAGGCATTGCAAGACTCTGACAGCCTTAGGCATGACTCCCAGAGGCATAACCATGATGTGATTTGTAGTTACACCATAGCTGGATGGCCGGAGTTTGCCTACCCCTGGTATACACTGTTTAGAAATTCAGAAGTGTGTGTGGCCAGCTTAAGGAATCTTCCTTTCCAGCACTAGTGTGTATAGGTAGATTTTCTACAGACTTAGAGGGAAGTTAGGGGTCTATTCTCGAAGCAGCCGAAGGATCTAGCAGTAGCTTCGGCTGATCCTTCGGCCCCAAGACCCCTTCGGTTCAGTATATGCCTCGGCTCGACTGAGCCGCGCTGAAAGCCGAAGCTGGCCGAATGGCCGGCCAACAGCCTGATTCTGACAGCTGGGCGGAGCCAGCCCTGATCTTACGTTCGGCCGACCCGAAGCCACCCGATGTACAGCTGATTTCAGGCGATATACGGCTGAAATCAGCCGTACCAGCCTGAAGTGAATAGCCGAACGCGTTCGGCTCACTTCGCTTCAGGTCGGTCGTTCACTTGGCTGCCTACCGCAGCTTAGTGAATAGACCCCTTAGTGTTTGAACCAGGGAACACTCTGCATTTTCACCAGCTTAGATTCAGAACCATTTAAAAGCTATCTTTAGCTAACTAATAGGTGTCAGATGATAAATACCAGAATTAAAATTGAAGCATAACTCTGAGGAAACAATATATAAACCCTTGCAGTGTGGCTACACCCGCACTGCAAGGATTAAGTGCACGCTCGTGTCTAGGTTCAAAAATAAAAAAACACCTGACTCACCTGGTCCTCGGATCTGGCCGGCTCTGACAACGCCACCGCCAACCTGTCTCCTCCTCTACTCCAGCGATGGTATGTCCCTTGGCGTCCCTTACATCCTATACACTGTATAGAACGTGATATCTCAAGGATCCGTAGACCACTGCAGCGGAGGGGGAGATAGACTCCAGGGACCGGTCTAAGACTAAGCCAGCTCTGAGGATTGGGTGAGTATGAATTCTTTCTTTAACCTAGACACAAACGAACACTTAACCCTTGCAATGTGGGGTAGCTCTACTGCAAGGGTTAAATATATTTTTCACCAGAGTTTTGCATTGAAGGAGAGGAATTGGGAGGGTAAAAAAAGACTTTTCCCAATATTTAGAGCTGAGGTGTGACAATTCAGCTGTCACCCCAGCTCTATAAATTGAGAGCTGAAAGATCATGTGACTACTGTATTGCTCAGCTCATGGTCTTCTTGCAGACGGCCGTGACTGTCAGTCCTCATTCCTTGCAAGGATTCTCCCCTTTCTGTTCCTCCAGTGCTCATTGGAGGGAAAAGACAGCAGAGGGGGCGTGCGCAGCTGGCTCTGACTCTAGAGAGGCAGAATCAACTGTCAATCAGGCAGCCGGGTGAATCCTGACAATATTGTTGGGATCCTTCCTGGCTGCAGTGCAGCCCTGTGCTGTCAGCATATAACAGGCAGTAGCCCACAATATGCTGACTTTGGGTTACAGGAATATATTGGTAAATGCTTATATACTCCTTGACCCAAAAGAGAAGTAAAGCCAAAAAAGGTTTGTCTTTAGTTTTCTTTTAACTCTCATCTCTCATCTCCAACCAATGCAGAGAGGGAATAGGTTCATAAAGTTCATAAACTGCACCTTACCTTATCTAGCCCATACCTCTTTATAACGAAGGGGACGTGGAACACAATGTATAAGAATATTCTGTTATTTTCTTATTGGTTATAAACAGTTTTAGGCGGAACAATTTCTTAAACTATGTTGCTGTTAATTCATTAATTTTTTCCCCCTTTTTTTATATTAAGGATCGAGCTGTTCGCTTCAGTGAGCTGGCTAACCTGCTGAAACAAATTGAAAAAGAATCCCAAATAAAAGGGACTTTGGAAAACCAAATATTGGAAAAGCTACAAGGAAGGTTGACATCGGATAAAGCTGCTAAATATGCATCACTTTTAACAGGGAAGCTACAGAAAAGACAACTAGAACTGGTTTGTAATTTTTCTTTTCTAGCAGATAAAAGTCACTAGAGCCTAACAAAGGCCAAACTTGTAAGAGTCACACAGTCCATACAGTATACGGCACTCTTCATAGTGTTTATATGTGTTGATCTTGTGCATTTAGTTCTAGTGCTAAGTCATAATAATTGTCATTTTTTATGCCTATGTAATGTAAGAAGTATGTCAACTCTTTGGAATGTAATGGCTCTCTGCATGCATGACTGCTATCTGATCCTTATTTAAAGGAGAACTATGGGGTTAAGTCTTTTCCCCATAGTTCTCCTTAGGGTAACGGGAGGACACAAACTAGCGTCCTCCTGTCACCCTAGGCTCTGCTGTAGCTCGCGGTATACTGAGACGCCGCAGTATACTGAGACGTGGCAGCTGAAGCGGATCCCGACAATTGCGCTGGGATCCGCCCAGCTGCGTGACTGACAGCTGGTTCTGCCTATCTGCCTATCCAGCTGTACCCGCCCCTCCCCCGTCCGATCCACCAGTCAGCGCTGGCGGATCGGAGGGGGGAATCCAGCCCCTCCCCTGTCACGGCAGAGAGCCGTGACAGGATCGAGAGGTGAGCGAACGCCCGGTATGTGTTCGCTCACCTCCCGATCTACTGAGCCGACCTGTGACAGTCTCATTATCACAGGTCGGCTAGAACTATGAGGTGAGTGAAAAGCACTCACCTCATAGTTCTCCTTTAACTGCTAATAAATGGATTAAACAAAATAATTTATGAAAAAGTAAGTGAAGGTTTATATCAAGTAACTAACTTCCATCACTGACACATGTCAACCGTATTTTGTATGTAGATATTACAGCAGGAGGTATTTTGAACCTTTTTTTATATACAGTATTGCTTGATTCATGTATATTTTTGGTATATTTTGAATGGCTTGCTTCAGTTAATGCCACAGCATTTTAGTGGGATTCAGGTCTGTTTTCAAACAAACACTGGGGGAAATGTATCAAAAATGGAGCAGACAGAATCAAGAGCAGTTGCCCATAGTAACATGTTAATTGATTGTATATAACGATTTCAGTAACTCGTTAGTATCAAATATTATCCCGTTTTTTAAGTATAATGGAGGGTTTCTTTATGTAAAGACTGGAGTCAGCAGAACAGGACAGAACAGTCATTTTTTTGCTTATGACAATCCCCACTACCCTCAATAAAGACCTTGAGCAGCCCTTCTTTAATTATTTGCTACATTAGAAATATTATCTGTTAAACTTAATTGATATTTTGTTAACACTTTTCTTAGTGAGTTTTACAACTTACTCCTTATTTAATTCTTCACATTTGGTAATTATATTCGGTAACCTGTGTATTGTCTTTTTTTTTTGCTTTCAGGAAATTGATTGTACTAAAATGGAAAATGAGACATCTCAGGTGCAGCTGGAGGTTAATCATAGTACATCGTGTATTCAAGCTCTGCAGAAGACCCTGGATGACTTGGATAAGAAAGTTCAGGCCACCAATGAGTTAATCTCTGGCAGTCAGAGTGAAATTGCAAAGCGCACAATAACAATTGAGAGGAAGCAGTCCACCATTAATTTATATAGCAAGCAGATTGAGTCAACACTTGCTGAGATTGGGGTAGGTTGGGTTTTCATAAAATCTCCTCTAAAGTCTTTTTAGAAAACATTTGATAAGTAAGTTTGGCCATAATATATGTAACATTATAATATATAATTAGGTTACATAGTTACATAGTATTTGAGGTTGAATAAAGACACAGGTCCATCAAGTTCAACCTTTGTGTGTCTGTGTGTGATTGTGCATGTGTGTGTGTGTGTACACGAGATTAATTGATTATTTAATAACTTTTTTACTTAAAGTATCACTAACATCTGGGCTTTTTTACCTTAATGCATTCTCTGCATTAAGGTAAAAAACGCTCAGTGACTTTCTGTGTTCCCATCCACTTCACACTTACCTGTGGTTGCTTGTCACCTCTGATGACCTCTGACCCGGCTTTACCCATACTTCCTGGTCCCGGGGGAGGGTACTGAGGGCAGAGGAGCCATAGGCTCCTTCGGCCATCCCTCAAAGTATGACAGTGGCAGCGGGGGGCGTGGTTTGCCATAAGCTGTGTGTCTATGGACGCACACAGCTTACCGCGGGAAGGTGCACGCACAGGTGTCACTTCAGCACATGGCTTGCTGATGGAGACAACTGCACACAGGGAGGGAGGCATGGGGACGAAAGAGTAACAAGGAAACAAAAAGTTATTAAAAAGAAACATAACACATTTCAATTAAATCTGGCCATGTTAAGAATAACCCCCCCCCCAAAAAAAATGAAGTTTAATATCACATTTTTTACTCATTTGATTAAACATTTATTTTTATATAAATATGCTGCCTGGCCAAATAAAAGTCACCAACTGTATCTAGTTAAGCAAATAGGTCAGAGCCTTCCATTGGATAATTAGTCTAGGTTCAGCAACGTTTTATGGCTCAAAAATGAGGTCAGGTGCCTCTCTGAATATACGGAATGATTGTTTTTCCATCAGTGGATTTTTTCTTCACTGATGGCACAGACATATTCCAAGATGACAATGCCAGGATTCAAATTGTGAAAGAGTAGTTCAGGGAGCATGAGGCATCATTTTCACACATGGATTGGCCACCACAGAGTCCAGACCTCAACCCTATTGAGAATCTGTGGGATTTACTGCAGAAGACTTTACACAGTGGTCCGACTCTCCCATCATCACTAAAAGATCTTGGTAAACAATTAATGCAACTCTGGACAGATAAGCTTGTCAAAATGATGCCATGTCAAATGCATGCCATAATCAAAGCTAAAGGCAGTCCAATGAAATTTTAGAACGTGTAAGTGTGTGTGTGTGTGTGTGTGTGTAAGTATAGGCAAATTAAACTTCAGCTTTAATGTGTGATGAAAGAATGCATAAGCAAGAAGCTACCTCCAGTGATAACAACCTGTAGATCCAGAGATATACTGTAGATAGCTGGACTCATATGTTCATTTCCATTTTCCTGTAAACGTCATGTATGTCTCCACCATTTCCTGCCGCCTGATCCCTCTTCTTATTAGTCTTTTAATGAGTCAGGCCGCTTCACTAACAATAAGGAGGTTCAGAGGATGTAAAGGCATGGGACAAGCTCCATTTTTATGAAAAAAAGTAAACAATTACTTTTACTGTCAGTTGCCTGTATCTAGAGAACTCATAAAGGAAACCTTTCCTGAGGAAAACATGGTGGCTGCCATTGCTGCTTCTCATTTTGCGAATGCTAGTTTCCTGACTGTCTCATTTACCCTCCTGATTTGATACTTGGTGTCCCTTACCTGGAACAAGCATGCAAACAAGGATGTTTACCGTTACAGATATGCATACTCATTCTTGGGTAGATAGTCAAAGCTTTTTGATCCCAGCTGGTTAGTGTCCTAGCCAGACATTTGGCATCTTCAGAGGCACGTTGGCTATGGAAATGCCCATCTCTCAGCATCGGCGATGTGGTAACACACCATCATTTTAAATTGCACCGCAACTCACCTCCACAATGCACTTGTACTGCATTACGCCACACAGTATCACGACGCACAGTGCAGTTCACGGTACGCTGCAAAAAAGTACATCCTGCACTGTTTTTTTTATGATTTGAGCTTCGCTGCAGCACATTCATTTTGAATAGCTACCCAACACAACATGCAGCAATGTGCCTCAGTGCATGTGTTGCAATGTAGTGGAAGGTGAATGGGCCCCAAAATAATTTGCTCTGATGACCTTTGATTCTGTTACAGAAAGTGATGGAAAATTCATAATTTTTGAGTTGTCACAGGAACAGAAAGTGAGGGGAAATGTTCCAATGAGGACACCTGTGTGGGGACGACTGATGGAGAGGGAAATTCCCCTCCTTGGAGAGTTTTCCTCTCACTTTCTGCTCTGTCTCTGGGGCAGGAATTAAAGGTAACAGACACACATAAAAAAATAAACTGAAAGGGGTTTTACGATAACTATTCCAAAACTACATAAAAACCTTTTTCTTTTACATATACTTTAAAGGAGAACTATGACATGAGTGATTTCCACTCACCTCATAGTTCTAAGCTGACCTGTGACAATGAGACTGTCACAGGTCGGCTCTGTAGATCGGGAGGTGAGGGAACACATACCGGGTTACCTCACCTCTCGATCCTGTCACAGCTCTCTGCCGTGACAGGGGGAGGGGCTGGATTCCCCTCTCCCCGCTCCGATCTGCCAGCGCTGACTGGCGGAACGGACGGGGGAGGGGGCGGGTACAGCTGGCTCTGCCTCTAGATAGGCAGAGCCAGCTGTCACTCACGCAGCTGGGCGGATCCCGTCATCTAAGTCGGGATCCGCTCCAGGTGCGGCGTCTCAGTATACCGCGAGCTGTAGCTCGCGGTATACTGAGCTTAGGGTAACGGGAGGACGCTAGTTTGTGTCCTCCCGTTACCCCAAGGAGAACTATGGGGAAAAACACTGACCCCATAGTTCTCCTTTAAATTCTCAGTGCTGTCATGTTTGTAAAAAGAAACTGATCCTTTCAGTAAGAGTTTCCAAGAAGGTGACTGCCCTCTGTCCTTTTCTATGTGTTTTCTGTTTTGTCTCAGTTTGCACTGGTTTTGGCAAAAAGACTTTGAGGTCTATTCACAAAAGGGTGAAGAGTCTGGAGAGCAATCTAGGCCAAAATAGCTGATTTGGAAAAAATCTCCAATTCCGCTCACTTTCCAGTTCAGCTATGTTTTCCTAGATTGTTCATTTCTCCTGCCTTCTCCAAACTCTTCACTCTTTTGTGAATAGCGATGATTATTTCCTTGGACTATCAAAACTTCACGTTTGTATCTATGTACTGATATCTTTTTCCAATTATGTACACCAGTAGTAACAATATATGTGTTAGATGGCTATAATCACTGCTTTCTTTAATTATTAGGGTAAAGAACTAGGTCCTCTGGAGATCCAGATCACTGCTCTGACCAAACAGATAGAGGAATGCAATACAGAAATTGTAGCAGTGCAGCAGTATTGGCTCCGTTTGCAGACAGAGATGGTCCAGTTGACCAGGCAGAGGGAAGATCAGGATGCTTCAGTAGATATGTTGAAGAAAGAACTGACTATATTACAACAGAGGAAAATTCGCATAGAAAGTAAGTCCAGAGATCTTTGTATGGCATTAGTTATTGTGAGACCATCAATAATGGAGGCTTTCGGTGACCCTTGCTATTTCAGGAAGTTTGTTAAAGGTAGTGGTGGTCACTGGAACCCTCTGCACATTACCAGTGTGCAGGAAGAGGTTTCAAGGGCTGTTTTTACTTTGAAACCTCAAATCCTCAAAAGCCAAAATCACTCTAAGTCAACACAGCATCATACTCGGGGTGCTGTCATATACTTCAGCCATTTCTGAAGCACTCTCCTAACAGTGTTTACGCTATAGCACAAATCTTCTACATCCATTTAGAAGTGTCTATTCTGCCTCACCAATTTCTCTATTAATTCCAATAATGAGTTAGAAAAAAGGTACCACCTTCCATTTTGTGCATTTTCATTGGACCGAAAAGATGATTACTAAGAACCAGTTGGTATGAGATCAGGATTGAAGTACAGAATGCTACCAGAATAATTACAATCTGCAAGGCATTTGCATGTTCTCCCTGTGCTAGCTTTGGTTTCCTCGGGATACTCCGTTCTCCTCCCATACTCTAAAGACATGCTGGAAGATTGATTGGCTCCTGTCTAAATTGGCCGTGTATGCATGTGCAATAGGCACCGCAGATTGTACATTCCTCAAAAGAAGGGACTGATGTGAATGTGCACTTATTGTGCATGTAAATTGCTGTATTAATTGTTGGTGGTATATAAATACCTGTGATAAATATATCAATTAATATATTTTTTAAATTCTGGGTAAAGTAGTGTAGGGTTAGTTTTTTTTTAAAGGCTGGTTATAGATTCATGCATGTACCATTTTTTTTTAGTTTTTTGCTGTCTGGACTTGTTGAGGAGATTTCAGAAGGTGGGGGAAATCTGCACTAGTGACACAAACAGCAGTACAAAGGTGACAGGAGTTATAGCCTTTTCCTACTCTTAAAAAAAAAAGTGTTGTTGCTATCTGGAGATTTAGCTCCACTTGTCCTGGCGACAATGTTGTCACCAGGACAGGAAGTTGGGGGAATGCTCCTCAAATGAGCCTCAGGTAGCAATAAAAAAAAAATTATCAACAGAGGTTAATCCTCCTCTAAACTGTTCAAAGGCTAAAACAAGTTTTGGATAGAGAAGCTCTGTTTTTTACTCTCCCTATATCTCATTTAATCAGGAGTTTTCAGTGCTGGATGGTATTCTTCTTTTTGCCTTGCAACACTGGGGTCCTTGGTTGGAATACCAACCAGGGCACTACCTACATAAAGGTTGTGTGTTATCCTAGTGCTTGTGTGGGTTTCTCCGGGTACACCAGTTCCTTCCATGCACCACATACATGATGGTAGGTTAATTGTCTCCTGTCTAAATTGCCCCTCATAAGTGTATGCAGGGATCCCAACCTGAGAAAATTAATTTCAGGGAGGTGCCCATCTCATTTTCAGGGGGAGAGGGCACCTCCCTGAAATGATGGCAGATAGCAGGGAAGCTAATGCTTCCCTTGCTATGTGCTGTTTTTGTTTTTTTTGTATTCTGACAGCTCCTGCCGTCAGAATAAAAAAAAAAAACACAGACTGCATGGGAATGAATAGTTAAGCTGTTATTGGCTATTTCAATTTGCAATAGCCAATAGCAGGCTGGCTATTGCAACTGCCCTTTGCTGCTGTCAATCAGCAGCGGAGGACCTGAAGGAGAACGTCAGGTCCACGTTTGCTGATTGACAGCAGGAGTGGGCGGGTACAATAGCCAGCCTGCTAATGGCTACTGCAAATTGAAATAACCAATAACAGCTTAGCTATTCATTCCCATACAGTCTGTGTTTTTTTTTTATTCTGACGGCAGGAGAAAAAAAAAACAGCAGTCTGTTTCTTCGATGTTTTTTTTTTTTTTTACTCTGACGACGGTCGGCGGCCCCGCTGTCAAAACCCCCCCCAAAAAACAGATAGCAGGGAAAGGTTTACTTTGCTAGATCGAGCAGAATAAACCTTTCCAGGATGAAATGTTTCTCTCGCGGGCGTCCGGTAGCCGCTATCTTATAGCAGGAGACTCCCAGAATGTCCGGAAGAGTTGAGATGTCTGGTGTATGTATGCACGCATGTGAGATAGGGACCATAGATTGTAAGCTCCTTGAGGTCAGTGACTGATTTGAAGGTACAATATGTAAATTGTTGGCGCCAGGGCCATCCCTATAATAAGGCAGCTTGAGGTGGTTGCTCCAGACGGCATCTCATTGGGTCATGTGGGGGGCCGCAGGTGTGTTGCTGCCCCCTTTCCAGCCAGAGCATCCCAGGTTGCTAAGAACTCTTGGCAACCTGTGATGCTCTGGTCTACGTCCTGCCCAGCTCCTGGAAACCATTGATGTCAGTGAGCTGGGTGGGACGCCAGACAGAGGTACTGTGCACCCCCAAATCCCCCCTCGATAATGTGTGCCTAGCACCAACCATCCACCCCCACATAATGTGTGCTGCCACCAACCGACACCCACACCCAACCCTCCCCCACCAACCCCCCAGTAATGAGCACCATCGGGACCCCCTTCCCCCTCACCTCAGGTGGCAAAAAGTGTAGGGGCAGCCCTGGTTGGCACTATATACATATCTTTAATAAATAAATAAAATGAAGCTGTTTTACAGTACTTAGTGTCTTCATCATCCCCATCTTGTGTCTTGGGATCGTTTAGGTTTTTTTTTTCTACCAAACATTGAATCTAGATCTTCTAGTGCTTAGCAACAACGATCCCTCTGCTTTCTTACAGATGAAATTGAGCAGGAGAATAATGAGCAAAAGAATATTGAGCATCATATGAGAAACCTGAAAAATGACATGCTACGTCTGAACATGCTGCTAAGTAAGAACGCGAGCTCTAAGGAACAATTACAGCAGCACAATCAGCTGATGGAGAGCGAGTTTATACAATCTCTACGGGTGAGTGTCATAAATGAGTAGTGCGCTCCTCAGCTAGACTCAATGGTCAGAGCTGTGAACTTCTATTTCTCTTTGGCAGGAGGCTGAGAGAGAATCAGTAGAGATGCAGGAGAATCTAGAAGACCTTCAAGAAGAGAAGGAGAGGCTACTGAAGAGTCTAGTGGAAACTGAGTGAGTATAGATAATGCTTTTACAGCCACTAAAGCAGCGGTCGCCAACCTTTCGGACCTCATGGACCACCAAATTCATAATTTAAAGTACAAACAATAAAAAAAAGAATGACATATATAGTCTGCGTGGGCCACAAAGGGAGGGGGTGTTGTTTGGGTGTTGGGGGGGGGGGCTACTAAACAAAGACTGTTTGTCGAGATGTCTCCTCACTTTCTATCCCCTAATGTGTCAGTGGGACCATAGAGAGCTTCTGCTCAGCTGAAATCCCATGTGATTTTTTATTGTACTAAGGGGATCTCATAAACACACCCACTATTACCGGTTGTTATTCTAAACATTAGGCATCAAATTATGCTTTGGGAGAAGAGGATTCAGCTGGCAAAGGAAATGAGAAACGCGGTGGACTCAGAGACGGGACAAGGAGAAATCCGAGCAATGAAAGCAGAGATACATCGTATGCAGGTAAGCAGTGTTTTTCAGGTTAGGACTGGGCTTATGTAAGAATGAATTATTAAACAAATCAAAAATAAAAATAAGCAATTATCAAACAGGTAAATTATGCAATAAATAATTTTGTAATCTTATCTATTAAAATGTTATATTTAACTGCTTATTAGACTTTACGTACTTGAGGACATCTCTTGGAGTTAAGAGTCAGATGTGAGAGGCTAAGATGGCTGAGAGAGTAAAATATAGAAGCTTTTACCTCTGTAGTGTGATATACAAGTGCATTTGTTCACAACAGAACTGCTCTTCTCCCCATACAAGTCAATGGGAATGCAAAAGCAGCAACGATAGGTCAGAAGCAGCTCAAAAAGAACTCAGAAGGAGCTCAGATACTTTTTACATTTATACACAGTGCCCATGCTGTAAAAGAACAGGCTCAATACTTTTTCTTCCAGCGGCCCACATATGAAAGTGCTTCCTCTTTGCTCCTCCTCAGCACCTGCATGTATATCACACTTCTGAATGTGTAAGATACCTGCTCCCTTGCACACGATGTGGTTCCTCCTGTCTTGTATATCACTACAAGTGAGGTGGTTTCCGACTTGTATGTTACTACAAAACATACAAGCTGGCGGGTGGGATCACAGCATGTGGCAAGCGTAACAGATATTCTAAACACCCAGTGGCATTTCAACACGCAGGCCCCAGAAAGGTAAGTATAGAGCCTGGTGTTTTACAGCCTGGGCATTGTGTATAAGTGACAGGATCACTTTAACCCTTTTGCTACCAAGGACGTTAGGCTTACGAAACGTTCAACACAAGGAAACCCAAGTGTTTTTCGAGCGTTTTTTGCAGCATTTTTCTGGCATTTTTGCATGACATCACAGATGCTACTGCTTTCCATTGCGCCAAATACAAAAACTAGGAATGCAAAAAAATTTTGTCCACCGAAACATATCGGATGAAAATGGCACTTTAGGCAAAAAAGTACCATCTTTCAGCCGAAATTGCGGTGCATCTCTAGTTTCTTTTCTCCCCGCTGGGCGCTGCTCGGTGTCGACTTTGACACAGCGCAGCACCCAGTGGGGAGGAGAGAACCTGTCAGAGGAGACCGAGAAGTGTGGGACAGAGAGCGATGTGAGCCGCAATGTCACAGGAGGCTGAGCTCTCCTCCCACAACACCTCGCTCAGCATCCTGTGACAAATCAGAATGGAGAGCGGTGTATGGGCAGAGACAGCTGTCACAGGAGGCCTAGTCGGCGGTGAGGGGCCGGGTCAGCCTCCTGTTAGAGTCGATCCAGAATGAAGAGCGGGTACAAACATTCAGCGGTCAGCAGTGGCGTAACAACCGGGGGGGCAGCAGGGGCGCGGGCCCCGGGCGAAAAGTGAAGGGGGGGCGCCGGCCGAAAATGCCACTTTCGGCTAAATGCCGAAAGTGACATTTTCTATGGGGGGGGGGGCGAAAATAAATTTCTGCCCCGGGCGCCCAGAACTCTGGTTACGCCACTGGCGGTCAGTGATCGATCGCTGAATGTATGTAAATGACTGGACATAGTATGAGTTACTATGTACCAGTTATGAATGAATAAGAAGTGATCTACATCACTTCCTATTGATTCATGATTGTGTACATAGTAATTCAAACTATATCCACAGGTTATGAATGAACAGGTGCAGGGGCTGCAGAAAAAGAGATTGAGCACTCAATCTCTTTTTCTATTTAAAAAGGAAAATGTTTAGACTTATGATATTTCACTGAAGCCCCCAGCAGTAAAGTCAAAAAAATATTTAACAAAAACAAACAAATACATAAATTAAAAAAATAAATACACTATTTAAATAATGTAAAAGTTTAGAAAAAAAATAAAACATTGAAAACATTTTTTAAAAGGTTAGAAAAAAAATAAGTTTCGGTTTCGGCCTGACATTTTTTTTTTACATTTTTGGTTTCGGTTTCAAAACTTAATTTCAGTGCACCCTATGAAAAACGTCTGAAATTGAATGCCTGGAAAACCCCAGGAGCCCAGGATTAGGCCCTGGGAATTACCTGAAGCTTGACAGTTCATACTAAGTCAACTGACCCACCTAAAGCTGGCCATACACCTATTGGATGCAGGCATTGTTGAGGTATTTTGACAGCCAGCGCGGTCAATAAGCAAGATACTGAAGCTTGGCCCAGTGGGAGATTCCTCCAGCCACACAGTTTAGCGTAGATGGAGGAATCTGTTGCACTTTTTCCATCTGACCCTAGAAAATCTGCAGATAATCTATAGGTGTATGGCCAGCTTAAATCTGATAACAGGCTGTCCCCGAAAAAAGCATTTGGGTTTGAGTAAATGGGCAAATGCAAAATGCTTTCAGATGTATTAGGCTTGCATTTGAGATTGAATAAACACTTTTTCTGCCGGGCCCTGCACTCCACTTGTGACCTCAGCTGGCTAGACCATTTTTTAATTTTTCACTTTTTAAAATAGTTTTTCATTTAGGGCTAGTTCACACTAGCCACAGTGCTTTCCAGCCCGATTGGGGCCGGAACGCACTGGATCACATTGCGGCCAGCTCACTTTTTGTTGAGGCGGGAGGGGACGTGGCAGTGCATTGAACTCAATGGCATCGCAGCCACGCCCTCCGGCAGCAGTGCGATCGACCGCATGTGAACCTGTGGCACATCAGTGCCTGCGTTCTGGTCAGAAAAAATGATGCAACCACTGTTTTTTCCTGACCAGACCGGAACACAGGCACTGATGTGCCACTCGTTCCCATGTGGCCAATCGCACTGCAAGCGCTATTCTTTCTGACCGGAACGCAGGCACTGATGTGCACGTATTCCCGTGCGGCCGATCGCACTGAAGCCAGAGGGCGTGGCTGCGGTGCCATTGAGTTCAAAGCACCGCCATGCCCCCTCCCGCTCCAACACAAAGTGAGCCGGCTGCAATGCGATCCAGTGCGTTCCGGCCCGAATCGGGCCCAAAAATGGAGGTTGGTTTCACACTTATGTGTTAAGGTAAAGCCAAATCCACAATGCTGTGTGTGCGCACTGTGTGTTAGTGTGCGTTGTGATAAAATTAACCAGGCATACATTGTATTGTGCATCAATGTGTCACAACGTGCTTCCATGTATAGCATTTAATGAATGGAATTTTGAAAAAAAAAAGTTTAAAAAAAAAGAAAAACATCAAGCACTGTGATGTATTGTAACAACACACTGCAGTGCTTGTGAACAGTACACATCAGCTTATGTGTTATGTGCAACATAACACGCGCCTGCTGTTGTGAATAGGCCCTTAGTGTGTTGGCACAGTGCACCAATGTACGATATGTGTATTTAGTTTATGTATGTGCCATTTGTGTGTGTGAGTTGGGAGGGGGGCTTAAGTTTGGGTTCACATCTATGTGCTGTGGTAACAGACATGTTAATTTGTGCTGCCTGAAAGAACGACTTGAACATCTTCAATGCTTCTACTTTGAACTTTGAAGATTGTTTGCTGCACAGTGCCTGCTGTTCCAGAGGTCAGTGGGGACTTGTTTTATAGCTAATTTACAGCTGATAAGCATATGAAAGTACTGGAATGTCTGTAGCATAGTCCCTGTTTTTCCTTTATGAGTGATTAAATCACAGAAAACAGTGCTTTAAATAATTAGCATAAATGTCAATGAAATAGTATTTTGTCCAAGCGACATACCATGCAATACTGTACATTCTCTGTCTGTTAATGCAACTGCTAACAGCTCAGACATGATACAGGCCACTCAATGCACAAATAAGAAATATTCTAGTCTCCTAATACAGCAAATTTAAAGGTCCAGTCTTATCGCATTGCTTGCTGCAGATGTTCTTGCCTGGTATGACTAGGAGAGGCTTTTGCCTCTCACAGAAGATTAGACAGAACTTCAGTGGCTCAATGGGCTGACTAGGGATTCATTCTGTGTGTTTAAAGTGGTCCAGTACTTTACCCATAGAGACAAAGCAATGAGTTCACATTAATTGAGGCCCCACAAGCTGCCCATACTTTGTTTTTGCTCCTCTGTTGCTCTGCTTTATCAACAGAATTTAGGAGGGGAAGCACTGTGTTCATTTTAAGCCTTGGAATCTTACCCAGGGCCAGAGACTCTCTCCTGCTGGAATGTGACAGTGCTGGGTGTCTGAGAAAACAATCATCAAGCACCAGTGCCGTCATGTGAGTCACATGTTACCCTTACCAGGAGTGAAGTGGTCCGGAAGCGAAGGCAAGGCAAGTATAAGCATCTGGTGGCACCACCATTAAAGTAAAGCTATTGTTTAGCCCTGCATTGGAAAACGCTCAGATTCACTCTAAAATTCTGCCAAGGTATTTAAACAGACCCATGTGTTACAAACAATATTCTGTGTGTTTCATTTACTTACTTTTGAATGGGAATCGAGGCAAAAAAACAACATCAAATTGATGGCGTCCAAAACGGAGTTAATGCAGTATGGTAATGGTGTGTATATATATATAT